CATTGAAGGCAAAATTTCGCCGATTTCCAGGTCGAATGTCGAAAATTTACAAGAAGCCAACGCATAACTCGGGAACCAATAGAGCTACAGCGCCGCGAAAAAGTGTATTCGATAGCCCTATTAACGCCCTTTCTGAGTAATTCCTCAGATTTGACCTAACATCAACGGTTTTGCCTGCAGGGGGCAAAAACTGCAAAAATAGCCGATTTTTTCGGAAACAGTTTTTCTGCAATAACTTTTGACCCAAGCCTTGTACGAGCTTACTTTTACCGGCATCGTGTTCCTCTCGTCAAGACGCATCGAATGAACTATAACTTGACCTTGAAAGGTCAACTTGAAAATTTGACCTCAGGTCAAGGTCATGACCTGACCGGAAAGGGTCATGTTGCATATCAGTCGATCCGTATCGTCGAGCTGAACACATATAAGGCGTTTTCATCGCTCTAGCATGCCTCTATCAAAAGTTATTTGCGAAAAACTGTTAGATACCATTCGTGACCTAAGATGACCTCAAGGTACAAACAAGGGTCACGGACACTATTTTCATGTTCAGTGTGTCTAAACCACTTGTAATTCGGTGTTTTGGAGCGTTTATAAAGTCTTTCGTCCAAAAGAGGCGCATTTCAATTTTCTCCCATTGACTTATAATGGGGAGGTCGTAAAATTGACCTGGCCTTAGGTCATCGACATCAAAATTCTGAGATATACATTTTGTACATGCTATTGCTCTTAGCAATCGCTGAAAGTTTCAAAGCGATCGGTCACTCGGTGTAGCTATGACAGACATTGACACTTTTTATGAGGTGAGGTCACTTCAAGTGACCTGGTGACCTGACCTTGAAAGACCTTGGTCTGAAATTTTAACAACATGTGTAGAATTGATGTATGATAAGGTGTACCAAAAACTGCGGCGCTCCGCGCCGCCGTTTTTGAGATATTCGTGAAAAACCACAAGGGAGGGGTGTTCAAACACCCCCCCAGCAGGGCGCGGGTTAACCCGGCAGGCGGTGGGCCTACCAGCCACCTTCCGCGCGGTGGGGGGGGGGGGGCATTTTTTGCCCCCCCCGTATCTCCGAAACTACTGGACGGATCCGGAAAATTCAAACGGCGTTCGATAGCCCTGTCAAATTTGTCGAAGGAAACCAAATTTCATTGACCTCGGGGTCACCGATGACGTCACAGGTCAGGTCAAAGATAAAATGTTGCACCGTTCACGGGGCTTCTAGGGAAAGCGCTATAACACCGAGTAAAACGCATTTTGTCGAAAATCAGCGATAAGGCGTCAGTTGTCTAGTACATATGTTGCTATTAGACAGTATTAGAGGTCACTGGTCATACCAGGTCAGGTCACAGGTCAGGTCACCAAAGGTCACCAAGGGTCACCACATGAGCCCAACTTTACTAAGGTTATGCGATGCATGTTTTATGGCCAGTTTTTCATTTCCAACTCAATGGTGTTGGTTATAAGACCATCAGGTACGGTTTAGGTCACTTTCTGGTGGAGGTCAGGTCAAGGTCAGGTCAAAAAAGGTCAAATTTCAAAGTTGATATTTTTTGCATAAAATGGGTATCAATTCGATGCATCTCGTCACGGGGAGTCTAATGGTGGTCTTTGTTTTGTGCTACGAGGTCTAGAATTGCTAAAAATTGAGTTTGAAAATTTGACGTCATCAATTTTGAACAGTTTTTTCGCTATAACTTGGCCAAAAAAAGAGGTATCGATCTCAAATTTGGTATGTAGATAGAAGGCGGTAGGGACTATCACATATATTCCGGTTTCTTCGAAATTTAAAAAAAAAATGGATTTTTTGGCTAGTATATTAAAAAAATCTGTTTTCTTATTTTTGGGGGTCAAAATCCAAAAAAATCGAAAAACCGAAATAGCAGTTTTGTAGCCCTTTTGATTCCACACCTCTTATGTCTGAAGCATTTTTATGTATCTCTAAAGCTGTAGTCCTGACAGCTCTTCCCGCGAAACCTTTTTTGGTCGAAAATGGCAAAAATGACGTCACTCTGACGTCATTAGCGGCCAACCTATCATAGCCTTTGGAAAATTTTTAGTAACCATGTGCGCTAGCTGCTCCCGGGAGGGTACTGAAAGTTTGGTGACGATCGGCGCAGCGGTTCTCGAGATATATTGAAAAAACGAAAGGGGGGGGCAAAAAAATGCCCCCCCCCCCACCGCCTGGAAGGTTAAGATATCGTTTACCTAAGGTCGCGTCAATTTTACGCCCTCTCTGAAAAAAAAAATAAATGAAAAGCTCCCTTTTGGACGAACGTCATTCTAAACACTTTCAAACATCGAATTACAAGTAAACATGACACACTGAACCGGAAAATGGCACCCGTAACCCCTCGTTATGTCCCTGAGGTCATCCCAGGTCACAAATGGTAGCCAACAGTTTTCGCTAATAACAGCTTTGGTATATAGGCACGCTAGAACGATGAAAATGTCTTAGATGTGTTCCGCTCGACGATGTGGATTACGGATCGACTGATATGCAGCACGCCCTGTCAGGCCATGGCCTTGACCTGAGATCAAATTTTAAAGTTGGACTTTTAAGGTCAAATTATAGTTTATTCGATGTGTTTTGATGATAGGAATACGGTGCTGCTCAAAGCAAAGTTGTGCTAATTTTTTAGTAAAATGTTGTTACCGAAAATCCGTTTCCACAAAAAACGTCTGTTTTGACAGTTTCTGCCCCCCTGCAGGCTAAACTGTAGAAGTTAGGTTAAATCTGAGAAAGTTAGTCAGGAAAAGCGTTAACCCGCGCCCCAGTGGCGGTCTCAGCCAACTTCGCCCTAGTGGGGGGAGGGGGGGGGCATATGTTACCACCCACCTCTAACTCAAAAACTAAGAGGGCTAGAAAGACGCGGTAAAAAACAGTCGTTAGCTCTCAATGCGTACGTTCGAAAGTTTCTCATTCAATTTTCATCTTAGAGCAATATTGAGGTCACCAGAGGTCATCAAAGGTCAAAATTTGCCAATGGTCATTATATTTTTCAGAAAACATGCCGTTATCTCAGGAACTATGGTAACTAGAAAAACGCTTGGAATGACCTTGACCTCAGGTCAAGGTCATGACCTGACCGGAAAAGGTCATGCTGCATATCAGTCGATGCGTCTCAACAAGACAAACACAATGAGACCATCCCCAGCGTTCTATCTTTTTTCAATCGCGAGTTATTGGAAAAAAACTGTTTGTAGGCTCAAATGACCTCGGATGACCTTTCTAGAGGCTATCAGCAAAAATGACACCTTGGTCATCACGGGTGGTCCAAATCATTGTGATTTTGAAATATTTGGACTGTTCCTATGCGTACTCGAGGGCAGCGCTTTTCGAGGAGCGCTGTGGCCCGAAGGTTTGGACTTTTAATTATGAAAAACGCCCGCCCGCCGCAAAACGCAAACACCAGCTGACACCCATTGTTTGGTCACTCGCGCCATAGTCTGCTTCGCGGGTGTACCGAAATGACCCAAAGTCCAAATTTCCGGTGTGCAGGGTCATTTTCAACGGCACGTGGCACGTGGTTCTGGACTTTTCCGGCCACTTTGCGACATATCCATGGGTAGTGCACCGAATCCGCATGGAATTTGATCCGCATGGAAGAAAATGGGGTGTCGTTTGGATCGTTTTCGAGCAATCTGCCGCGGAACGCATTTTTTCATTTTCCCCATTGGCTTAGCATGGGAATTTTCAAAGTCACGTTGCACGTGCACCAGATTGTTCGCGGAGGAGAGACCCATACCAGAACGTAGATAACCTGGCCCACTAGAAATACTGAAAAAATCAAAATTTTTGGAACAACCGTATTCTCGAGCATCAAGTTGTACTGATCTCAGGCAGCTTTTGCCAAATTGTCAGGGAACTCAGATTTGTTTTTCAATAGAAAAACACAATTCTAAAGAATAGTGTTATTGACAACAAACCTTCGGTTACACACGGATCTAGAGGCATTTTCATTTTTCTCCATTGACTTGTAATGGAAAGGTCACGCCACTGACCTGACCTTAGGTCACGGATATAAAAAAAAATCCGAGATATACAAATTGTAGACGCTCATAACATCATGCCATCCACCAAGTTTAAAACCTTTCTGACAAACACTGCAGGCTTGACATGATTGCAAACTTTTTTAGGCTTGGTCAGTTAACTTGACCTGGTGACCTGACCTAAGATGACCTGGGGTCAAAAATTTCACACATTGTCCAAAATTGATGTACCAAAAGCTACTCCAAGCGGCGCGGCGCTACGCGCCGCGGTTTTTTATTCACACGCAAAAAAAACGCGACAGGGTGGTAACATATCCCCCCCCCACTGGGGCGAAGGTTAAAAGAGCCATTGAGTGCGCTTTTTCAGCGGGGCTCTATCCGTTCCTGAGCTATGCGCCGGTTTCTCGAAAATTGCGAAGTGTGACCTGGAAAGTGGCGACACTTTATCTTTGGTGACCTCTGATGACCTGACCATTGACCTGCCCTTAAATGTGTCAGCAGTAATTTCTTCATTATTTTACGCTCTTTCGAACAGCACCTACAGCGTGTCGCTACGTGGCCCAGGAGCCGAGTTAGAAGGGAATTGGGCTGGCCAATTTCACCACTGGCCACTTTGATCACTGGCCATGACGATCATTTCCACAAATATGGCCTACACATTCCTTGGACACTTCAAACACAGGACACTCCATCCATTTAGCCTCTTCTGGACAATATGAACCAGCTGGCCTGTGCGAAAATATCCTATTTGCGGCCAATTGGCCACAACAGGACAATGTAATTTTGGACGTTATGAACCATGTACCCAAGGCACTGGTCATTTCGAACACTTGGCACATCATGCCCTGGACATTATGAACCACGGCCAAAATGAATGCTCCCCGTTCAAACACCCCCTCCCCAGTAGGGCTTTGAAATCCAGGACCCCAGAGGGTCGCGGGTTAAAAACGCCCCCCCCCCCTCCGTCACGACGCGGAATTACGGCTGATTGTATCACTCTCCACAGGATCCGGGATGACTGAAACGCCGGTGTATCACCCCCGATGGCCGACGTCTGGACTGGATGTTTGTGTACAGCTAGCAACGGACACACTCCTGGACCAGCTGGCTGTCCTGGCGACCCACACAGTTACAGGACTGTTTATAACTAGTGAGCAGCAATATAAGGAAAGCATCAGTGCTAAGATATCGTAGCCATATCATATATGAGAGGGAGTGTACCTATTTCCTTCACACACATAGTTACCATGGCTCTGCTTACAATTGCTCATGTAACAATAGGGCTATACCTATTTAGCCTAAAGCTGGCCACCGACGCAGGAGATAGATTTCCAGACCGACGTGCGGCTTCTACATTACCTACCTAAAATTATTATGTCTACTTTTGTTGGACAGCTTATGCATTTTAACCCGCGCCCTGCTGGGGGTCCTGGATTTCCACGCCCTGCTGGGGGGGGGGGGGGTGTTTGAACACCCCCCCTTGTAACTCGGCTCCTGGGCCACGTAGCGATACGCGGAAGGCGGCGTTCGAAAGAGCGTCAAAAATAATGACGAATTCACTTCAGTCAATTTTTTGGTCAGGTCAAAGGTCAGGTCACCAGAGGTCATTGAAGGCCAAATTTCGCCGATTTCCAGGTCGAATATCAAAAATTTCCAAGAAGCCAACGCATAACTCGGGAACCAATAGAGCTACAGCGCCGCGGAAAAGCGCATTCGATAGCCCTATTAACGCCCTTTCTGAGTAATTCTCTCAGATTTGACCTAACGTCAACGGTTTTGCCTGCAGGGGGCAAAAACTGCAAAAATAGCCGATTTTTTCGGAAACAGTTTTTCTGCAATAACTTTTGGCCCAAGCCTTGTACGAGCTTACTTTTACCGGCATCGTGTTCCTCTCATCAAGACGGATCGAATGAACTATAACTTGACCTTGAAAGGTCAACTTGAAAATTTGACCTCAGGTCAAGGTCATGACCTGACCGGAAAGGGTCATGTTGCATATCAGTCGATCCGTATAGTCGAGCTGAACACATCTAAGGCGTTTTCATCGCTCTAGCATGCCTCTATCAAAAGTTATTTGCGAAAAACTGTTAGATACCATTCGTGACCTAAGATGACCTCAGGGCATAAACAAAGGTCACGGACACCATTTTCATGTTCAGTGTGTCTAATCCACTTGTAATTCGGTGTTTGGGAGTGTTTATAATGTCTTTCATCCAAAAGAGGCGCATTTCAATTTTCTCCCATTGACTTATAATGGGGAGGTCGCAAAATTGACCTGACCTTAGGTCATCGATATCAAAATTCTGAGACATACATTTTGTACATGCTGTTGCTCTTAGCAATCGCTGAAAGTTTCAAAGCGATCGGTCACTCGGTGTAGCTATGGTAGACATTGAAACTTTTTATGAGGTGAGGTCACTTCAAGTGACCTGGTGACCTGACCTTGAATGACCTTGGTCTGAAATTTACACAACATGTGTAGAATTGATGTATGATAAGGTGTACCAAAAACGGCGGCGCTCCGCGCCGCCGTTTTTGAGATATTCGCGAAAAACCACAAGGGGGGGGTGTTCAAACACCCCCCCCAGCAGGGCGCGGGTTAAGACCGACATGTGTGTCTGTTTTTATGTTTTACAGAGTCACCGGATGTGACACCGGAAGTGACGGAACGCCTCCTGGCAGCCCTCACCAGCTTGAAGGACGTCGGTGTTGTCAGATCGGGTGTCATTTCCGAAACTGTGCTGTCCGCCCTTCACGGCTGTTCCCAGCTGGATACGGTGCAGCTCAAAGACACCCGACCCCTCACGGACATCCCTGCCCTGACCCAGTCAGAGGTGGCTGCGGTCAGCAGGTCAGTCGGCCGGACGGCGACGGCGGATATTACGTGTATCTGGATAGACCACAATAACCTCAGAAACTGGGTATCTCTTGGAGGTTTACATAGTAATACGGGCATGGGGACACTGGAAATAGAAACAAACTCTTTGCAGAAGAATAGGCATCCACAAGCAGACTTTTTGATTCAGGTGGTTGTGTTGATGCGATGGAAACAGACAGACAGACGGACAAACGGACGGGCAGCTACATTATCTGGACTGGACTGGTATTATATAGATAGGGACATAATATTGGATGGCATAAGGCTCTTAGTATCGTGTGAAACATGTGTAGCAAATTGCAGCACCACCAGACTGGGAACTTGAGGTAGCTGGAGGCATATATGTTCTGTTATGAATGGCATTGGAACTGCAGGGTGTCTCCGTGTCGAGTCGCCCGCTGGTGCCACTGTGTGACTGTGTCTCGTATACTAACCTGAGTTCTGTTTTGTTTTGATGTGTTGCAGGATGGCAGTGACCTGCAGGAAACTGTATAGACTGCTCCTAACCTCCTCACTCGAAAACTGCCAGGCTGTCCTGACCGCCCTGCACGATACAGACCTGGGATGTGACAGTGGCCAGTCCCGTACCATCAATCTCTGTGTCCCCAGTAAGTGACGGCGTCTCTGACCACCCACACCAGCCGACATGGCGCCACCGGCCTCTCGGACACCCACACTGACGCACGTTACGTCACCAGTACTGACGTCACAATTGGTTACGTTTATGTCCGTTAGTGACGTCACAGTATCAGTATCAGCCCTCATGACGTCATTACTCAGTGATACACACATTGCCATTGTGTTTGTTTCTGTACCTGTAAGTGACGTCATCAGTCTGAGTTGCCCCATGTGACATCACTAGCAATCAGTGTGTAATCTGACGTGCTCTATTTTTCAGAGTCTGTATACGACAAGCTTACTAAGCCACCCAACGGCAGCAAAATCACCGTGTACTACTTCTAAAAGCCTGACTGATCAGTGCCTCGACCGCTCCGGTGACGGCGGCAGTGTCGGAACTCGACAACAGATGGCAGCACCGTGTCCCGTCGGCAGCGCTGTTCTGTACACAATGCACGTCTAGACCTTCATATCCAGAAGTGCTTTGAGCCGCCCTGTCCCATGGGCTCAGGTCCGTGGGTACTTTACCGCCGTGCCAGGCTGGTTTGGGTTGAGTGGCCACCTACTATGAACGTCAAACCCCTTAAGACCCCACTATTTTGCGATAATTTTTAAATGCGTCAACTTTCGTTGACAATATTCTGGCAATGTATGTTTCAGAACCTGCCGAAACTTTTATTACTAAGGTATTTTGACGCCAAACGATTATGGAAGGTACTTCTCATTCACTCGTAATGCTAAGGTCAAATCAGGCCCGGGGAGAGGCTTGCGCTCGGCCACACTCGAGCCCCGCCACCAGCGCCATCTGCTCTAAATGCCATCTACCAGCGCCCGCTACCGCTACCAGCTACCGCCCACCATCAAGCCTGAATGGAGCGAGAGACGCGAGTGACCGGTCGCCGGGCAAGGAGCGCCGGAGGGGTAGGGCGGAGCTTAGCGCTGACGTCATTACGTGGCTCCGCCCCATGAGCGGGTAGCCTCTACCCAAACAGCAGATACGTTCCGTGAAATTTAACATTACGAGTGAATGAGAAGTACCTTTCATAATCGTTTGGCGTCAAAATACCTTAGTAATAAAAGTTTCGGCAGGTTCTGAAACACACATTGCCAGAATATTGTCAACGAGAGTTGACGCATTTACAAATTATCGCAAAAAAGTGGGGTCTCATGGGGTTTGACGTCCATAGTAAATGCTTGATCATTTGAGCACAGATTGCTACGTTTGTTGACACTGCTTTGATAGGTATATTCAGTATCTGAGATGTATCACGCTCTGGGCCACTGTCCAGCCGTCGGTAAACCGTTGTCACCGTGCCGGAGGTACCGCCCTGGTGGCGTCACGTGTGTTGTGACGTGACGTCACGCTGGCTCACACCGCTGTGCTGTTGTGGTTGTAGTTTCAGTTTATACCATAGAGTCGTTGGAGCTAGCTGTGAGGGTGTCCGGTCCGGACGATATCGGACCTCGCCCGTCACTGTGTCGGACCGTCGATGGTCCGGTCGGCTGTGGTTCGTTTGGACCGGATATGTCCGGTTCGGTGTCGCTCATGTGATATCACGGGCTGATGGCGATTGAAATACACAGTGGTTGAGACGTTCAATACACAAATTTTACTGAATTTCAAAGCGCAACTATGCAGTGCCGTTATTCTGTGACGGTAACTAGTCAAAGGGACTGTAAGGCTTCTGACCATTATGCAATGCTTTGAACATACCTGTCATTCCATAATGTCATCGAAGTTGTGATAAAAAGAAGTCACCTACTTAAATTGACGTGGAGCTCTAATGTCGGATGCTTCATAAAAAGTGCGTGCAACTTCAGATTGCCTAACATGTATAAGTGTTCCGTAAAAATTAAGCCAAACCCAGAGAGTTACCAGTAAAAACAAAAATCGCGTCATTTCCAGGAAACGTATTCCTTACGGGACGGGTGAAATCATACTTTTTACCCACACCACCAGCCCAACACTTCAGTTGACTGAGCCGTAAGGCTGTACTGATTATCACACATCAAGTGTGTCTATGGTGATCAATGTGTCACCCAGCCCGTGCGCTGCGGCACAGCCTACCACTGCAGGCAGCTGATTGCCCGCTGAGAAACGGTGCATCGTTCTGCCGTCAACTGTAGACTGTACAGTGTGTATTAGTTATATTACAGCTGTATGGACACAGCACGGGTACGGATCCGGGACACCATACCATCGACTGGTGGATACAGGACACGGTCTAGTATCCAGCGGTGCGATATCGCCGGTGGTCGTTATTTCTTTTAGAAGGCTGGATACCGCCAGTGGACACTATTTCTTACAGAAGGCTGGATACCGCCAGTGGCCATTATCACTTTTAGAAGGCTGCATACCGCCAGTGGACACTAGCCGTTTTCACGACGGGCTATCCGGCGAATGCACCTGATTTGACCAAATCTGCACCTAATTTCTTTTACATCAAATATCTTCATTTTATGAACTTATTTCAGGGTTTTAATCGATGATGCTCTCTGATAATATGACAAAGCAGGCATATAAGCAATTATTGCAACCCTAGCTGATAGCTGCTAAGAGACACACTGAACCTGATTTGACCAAATCTGCACCTAATCTGTACCAGATTTGCACCAAATGTGTATACCAGATGGCCGTCGTGAAAACGACCATTACCACTTTTTAGAAGGCTGGATGTCGCCAGTGGCCCTATCACATAGAGGGAAAGTGTCCAATAGGGCCTTTCGGTTGTTTTCTCAATTAGGTACTCACCTCTAAAAAGTGGTGAATATTGACGTAACGTTTATCACTCAGTTCTAATCAATACCCTTACCTGAAAACGTTCGTGGTCCGATCATTGACCTTTGAAATTATGCATTGTTTTAAGACAATATTCGACAAGAATGGTGATTCGCCGCATAAACGTATATAATATGTACGTGCACCTTACTTTTGCAAGTAGAAGTGAACCAAAAAAGGAATGAAGTTTGCCCTCTAGCTTATTGTAGCGTCAAGGTCATTCAATTTTGATGAACTTGTCTTGATGAGCACCTTTTTGAAGTTAAAACTCTTGGGGATACATTTAAGAATTTTGTGCGATGCTCCAAATTTGGACGGTTGTGGTGGTCAGCGGTCAAGTGATGACTATCAGTTGACTATACCAGAACTATAGTGTCGCCCCCCCCCGCTCCACGGCCTTGAGTGCCCCCATTTCCAATGAGCTGCCCCACCCCAAACGTGGCGCTGGACAGGCGCGGATACAAGGGGGGGGGGGCCATGGGGGCCATGGCCCCCCCCCTTGGCCGATTTTTTCAAAAATAAAATAAAAAGTTAAAAAGTTAAAAAGCTGAAAAGGGGGCCTCCTGAAAATAAAGTGGCCGAAATCCGATGAGTTTTTTTTTAACCTACCCACTTAGTTATTTCTTAGAAGACTAGCTGAGAAGACTTCTTTGTTAGAAGATTGGTAAAGCTTTTCATAACTTGGAGGTCTCTTATACTCACAGAGATGACCACTTTTACAGGGCCTCCTAACCTGCACAGAGGGCCTCCAAGCCTGCACAGATGTTGAGATGTTGCCTGGACAGCTAGATAAGCTCAATAGACGCAGTATTTTTTTGGGGGGGGGGGCCCAACAAGTGGGAAGGTGGGGCCTCCAACAGGTGGGATTATGGGGGGGGGCCTCCTGGTTTCTAATGGCCCCTCCCTTGGAGATTTTCTGGATCCGCCCCTGGCGCTGGATCCGCCACTGCCATCAATTGAAGTATCCATACTCGTCCCAGTCGGTCCACTGATACCTTATCGGTGCAGAGATACCGTATCGGCTACAGCAATGTCACGAGCCCCACACAGGGTATCGATAGGGACAACACTGGCATTGAGGCCCCGGGCGTCGGACAGTGCGACCTAGAGAGGAGCGGTCTTCTGATCTCGTGTGACCCACCGAGACAAGATATAGTGACCTGGAGAGGAGCGGTTTTCTGATTTCGTGTGACCCACCGAGACAAGGTATAGTGGCCTGGAGAGGAGCGATCTGCCGAGACCTCGGAACCAGCGAGGCATTGCATTCAGCAATGTTTAAGCATAAGTCATTTTCATAATGATAAGGCATTCGCTACTATTAGAGATGTCAATCGGATACCAACTTTTTGGTATACCTACCGATATCAAACCGATACCAACTTGGTATTTGGTATTTCAAGGCGAGTGCATTCGGTACATTGTTGGTATTTTGAATCCTCACTAGTGTAAAAGAGGCCGAGAATTTGGTAAAAAGTTTGTATTTTCCTCATATTCCAAAGTCGGTTTGATTTCGGTATTTTTCAGTGGATATTGTTACGGAGCGAGCGAAGCGAGCAAAGTCTTTCCTTAGATTAACGGAAATTTCTGAGTATGAGCGGCCGGCCGGCCGGCCGGCCGTAGTCACGATTCTGCGACGCTTATATCTCAGCAACCACTTGACCGATTTACATGCGGTAATTTTTGTAGGATAGCTTCATTCCTTCTACCAAGTATTGGACTATTCCCGATGCATGTGGGTGACCCCTTATGCACGTGCCACGTGCAAAACGAAGAGGTGTCACCCCAGCAACTCGCGGGTTAAAGTGCTTAAGTCGTTCACCGCCGGTATCCATTGGCGCGGGAACTTCTTTCAGACGGGAGGGGGGGGGGGCATAATAGAGATCAACCTAGGGTACCCCCAAATATAGTTTTCTCACCGGTTTAGGCCACTTATTTTTCAGGCTGTGGCCTTTTCAACAACAAAAAAAACGAAAAAAAAGCAAAAAAGTGAGGTATTCCGTCTCAGCTGAGTGAAGAAACTACCGTTTTGGCAACCTGGAGTAAAGATTTTAATATGCCAAATGAGTTGCCGAGCTGGATTTTTCACTTACATGCTTTCTTTCTTTGTGACCCATAACCCCTAATTTGGGGAGGACAAGCTGCCCAACGTTTCCTGGCCTTATGAAAAGTTGTGGGGCACCGCCGCCACGGCCGCAGAGTTGTGGGGCAAGCTTCCCCCACTGCCCCATCCTCCGGTTCCCGCGCCTATGTATGAATCTATGAAATTATGTTGGTAGATTTCCGACTTCGATTCCTCCAGCTGGGTGGGGGGGGGGGGAGGCTCAAATACATTACGAGCCTGCCCCTTGGCCGAAAAGCTGGAGGGGGGGGGGGGGGGGGCTCAGCCCCCGCTAGCCCCCCCCCCGGTTCCCGCGCCACTGCCGGTATCTGTCAAGTTATATAGGACTGTTATCTGTTATCTGTATGATAAGTTATCTGTAAAGTGACAGGATATACTGAGGTAGACCAATGAACGCCCGATAGGTGAGCCCCAGCGGCGCCGGTATCCGCCTGAGGCGGTGGACGGGGTCAACGGAGAGTTACGACAGCACGACCTATGACCGGTCTCCTTGCTAACTGTTTCAGCCCAGCTGTTATAGGCTGTGGTGACGCCTATTTCATGCAAGAGTAGTTTACTTTACGCCATAGATAATAGGGGAAGTTGGAGGAACGCCAAATACTTTTTTCTGACGCCCGTAGCACGGAAGGTAGACAACATAAGCTATTCTTGTTGGCGTCATTCGAGAGGCCAGTCTTTTGCCTTTCAAACATACCAGGCGCATTTGATGAATTCGCATACCGTTAAGCGCACAAACTAAAAATATCAAAGAAGTGACACGCGTTATAAGAGCTTGAGGACGCTTGGTGCACACTGGAAGTTATAATTGTGTGATATAATAAGAAAATGCCAGGTAAATAATTCCTTATACATAGTAACAGGCCGGTCGGTTGAAAGTGTAATTTGTGTGACTAAAAACTCGCGCTGCTATTCTACAGCAGTAAAGTCCACGTAGCGTGCTTAGTTTAACGTGCGTAATTGCACGTTTTCGGCATGACCCCAGCCAGCCATACTTTCATTTGCAGGCCCATAACTTTTCAACGTGCCGTATAAATTTCAAATAGGCAGCACACTTATGCAAAGACATGCTGAAGATTACTTGACCGAATTGGCCAGACAAACGGTAGCATAATGAGTAAGAAATGCAGCTTCAAAGGAGCATGTAGTACAAGGAACGCGTACCTTGAAAACGCTATTGGCGCCCTCGCAGCCGAAGTATTCCGAATGACGACTCGTAACAAACATGCGATAATTGTAGTCACTTAAGCTTCAGAGCATCACTGACAGGTGGCATCCATGTCTTACGGTTTTCGAAATATCTCGAATTTCGGCTTTGCCCCAACTCCGGCATTGCTTCAACTTCCCCTTGGTACTACCGCGCGTAGATTCTGTATGATACACGACATCGCTTCTATGGCCCTCAGTACCAACAGAGTAGTTTTTCGTGTCCCCGCACCGCGGCTCTAACTTCAAGATCAATGCTTTCAAGAAAGACTAATTACAGATGGTTTGTTTGTCATTGTCTCATCTGATTACTGGAAGCATAGGAATGGATACCTACTTATCATTTGTGTTTCAGATGGACTTAGAAGATTTGTGCGGGGAGCTGGCTGCTCTTCGTGAAGAGGTTGGTGGTTTGAACGGAGAAGTGGCCACACTGAAGGGAGACAACGCCGTACTGAAGGGAGACAACGCCACACTGAAGGGAGACAACGCCATACTGAAAGGAGACAACACCACACTGCGTCAGGAGGTGGTCCATCTACGTGAAGAGGTGGTCCGCCTGCGACAGGCTGTCCTCGAGGAGCGCACCACTCGCCAGGTCGTCGTGGAGGAGCTGCGGCAGGAGGTCCGCCGGCGAGCGGCGCCATCCGACCGCTCCCAGGGGTGAGACTGAGAGGGAGCAGGGGTGGCAGTGGGGGTTAGTCGATGAGATGACACTAGGGGCAAATAGTAACAGGAGGTCGGCTTTGGTTGCAGGATATGACGCTTGGCGTAGAAGACAGTTGGTCTGTAAAACTCAAACCAGCTGTACGGATAGTCGGTCAGTAAGACTTAACCCTATTCCTGGCGGGCTCCGCCGGGACAAGAAACTGGCGGGGGGGCCGATTCGGCCCCCCCTTCAGATCTCAAAATTACACATCGCAGCGACAAACGGTAAACGGCATCGGATACGCACGGTCAAGATCTACAATTTCTACAAAGGTCATTTTCAGGTCAGGTCAAAGATGACGTCACAGGGGTCGAAAAAGTCAAAATGGCGGCGCTAGATATGGAGAGAGTTTTTCTCGCATAACTTTCGAATTAGTCAAGATAGGAACAAACTAAGGGCATCATCGTGATCCTCTCGTCAATCCGCATCGAATGATATATATGTTGACCTCGAAAGGTCAAGGTCAAAGGTTGACCTCAGGTCACGTGACCTCGAGGTCATCATGTATATCATTCGATGCGTCTTGACGAGCTGAACACAATGAGACCATCCATGCGTCTGTATCTTGTTCCTGTACGGAGTTATTGGCCAAAAACCTTTGGTGACCTTTGATGACGTCACATGACCTCACAGCTGCCCAACAGCAAAACAGACCTCAAGGTAGTGAAGGTTGATCGTATATGAAGTCATGTATGGTATATGGGGCCATTCCGACCCGTTTTAGTGGTAAAAACAGGGAGTTGATTTTTCCCCCATTGACTTATAATTGGGAGGTCGCGAAACTGACCTGACCTTAGGTCACCGATATCAAAATTCCGAGATAAACAAATTGCACATACTGGTACCCTAACTAAAGCCTGAAGAGAAGAAATTGATCGGTCAAAAACTCTAGCTCTGGCGTGATTGCAAACTTTTCTGAGGTAGGGTCACCAAACCGCCTCTGGTGACCTGACCTGAGGTCAGATCAACTCAAAATTTTCAGACATGTTGTGTAGAAGCCTTTTAGGAAAAGTCAGAAAATTTGAGCTTCCTAGCTCAACGCGTTTGGGAGAAATAACCAAAAAACCTCAGGGGGGGGGGGGCTCCTGAGGCCCCCCGCCAGGAATAGGGTTAAACGGTTGTGAAGACAGCTTTATGTAAGAGTGACGGCTGTGTGATCAGTTTGTCAGTAATATTAGGTACTTGTATACCTTATTTTGTGGATAGTTTGTCTTGTCTGTGAGGCTGTGAGGCAGCAAGGATGGCACTGGAGGTTGGAAATGGGGGATGAACACTGCATGGGCTTACGTGGATTGATGGTACGGTGCTGTCTCGGTAAAATGAAGACATCTCGAAGTTATCGCCTTATGACTGACCTTAGATGACGTCTTACTACGTCAGTCTGACGTCATTTCGCCACAGTGACGACGAAGAGCCTCGTGAACTGACTTCACTGAAGGACAACAATTGTGACAAGTGTGATGTCACAACCCAAACTGCGGAGGACGCGGGACTGGCGGGCGATAGCTGGAGGCCGCCCGCGCCTCGCGAGGCTAACATCTACCACCTTGATACCGAGCTGCTGAAGATGGTGCTGAGCAAGATGGACTGCAGGGACATGTTCCGCGCCAGGCGGGGTGAGTGCCCTTGCGACTGGCGAGGTATTATTTCACAATATTATCCGAGTCGATGTGGTGTGTTTCCTCAGCCAACTGAGAGTTCAGCACTGGGAAAGTCTGGGTGGATATGATATCTAAACGCTGTTGAAGGGCTTGTAGATATGTGAATTCCGGCTGCCATAGTATGGGATATCGATGTCATTTTCTTCATATAATTTCAAACGCTGCCTGTATTTGAACTTTGACTCTGACGTTTGTCGCTGACATGCCACCTGATCTCCATTTTTGTTCCGTCGGTGCCGACAGTCTGCCGTCGGTGGCGGTCCGCCATCGACGATATCGTCGGCGACTGTCGGCGGGAGCTAACCGATCAGAAAACCCGCGGTGGAAAAGTCCCTGCGCCGGCCACGAGCCTAGAGCTCGTGTTGAAGCTGCAGGACCAGCCGAAGATGACCGAATTGCAGGCGCCGACCGCTGAGACGGACACCGACCTCCGACTGGTCGGTGAGTCCTGTGTGAAACGCGCTACACACGAACTGGTACGCTTTGTCCCGCTGTAACTGTCATTCCTTGTGTATACAAGTGATCACTTCTTCACTGACTGGTGTTGCTTTATTCCAGCAGCCACCTGCCACGGCCTGGAGAAGGCGAACCTCCGTGGCTTTAAGCTGCGGATCTCTGCCCTGCGGCGGCTGGCGCGTGCCAACGCCTCCAGTCTGCGTGAGCTAACGCTGCCGGCCGGCATCAGCGACTGGCAGCTGGAGGCGCTGCTGGAGCCGCTGAAGGCTCTGGAGCGGCTCGATGTGAGCCCTCCCGTGGACAGCTCCGGCAAGTGGCTGCGGCTGCTGCCCAAGTCGCTGAAGAGACTGGACATTACTGGTGAGAAGGGTTGTGGGATATCCTTCCAGGTGGTGGTGGGGGGGGCATTTTTTTGCCCCCCCCCCTTTAGTTTTTTCGATATGTCTCAAGAACCGCTGCGCCGATCGTCACCAAACTTTCAGTACCCTCCCGTGAATAGCTATTGCACATTGTGACCAATTTTTTCCAAAGGCTATGATAGGTTAGACGCAAATGACGTCAGAATGACGTCATTTCTGCGTTTCTGCATTTCTGCATTTCTGCATGTCTGCATTTCTGGGCGCGTTATACTCAGACCCCTAGCGGGGCGCGTTTTAATTGTTTCTGTTTCGGCACAGGATCTGGATTGACTGGAGCGCCAGTGTTTAACCCCCGTTGGCCGACGTCTGGACTGGATGTTCGTGTACAGCTAGCAACGGACACACTCCTGGACCAGCTGGCTGCTCTGGCGACCCGCACAGTCACAGGGCTGTTCATTTATGGTGAGTAGCAGCATGAGTAAAGCATAGAAAGTTACGTAGTGTTGTGTATGTTGCATTATGAAAGGGAGATGTTACTCTTCCGTTGTCTCAAATTACTCTAAAAGAATACAAAACTTGTTGCGCCTGTCGTCCGGCTCTCGCCGGTACTGCATGCCTGTGGTGTCGCGACTGGGGCGCTAATTCATCGTTCGGTTAGGCACCTCAACAGCGACGAGCTCGATTGGCTCGAGGTTAACCAGTTAGAAGTGTGGCCCACACCAAGGAGTTCAGATTAATGGTGCTTGTGGAGAGCCCGATATTATGCGTTACGCGCTTCGTAATTATTTTATCTTGCTATCAATAGTTACTGCTGGGATCTGGGCCACGGTGATCGCAACGTGTGTACATATGCACTTATGGCTTCTGTATTTATGTTTTACAGACTCACCTTCCGTGACACCGGAAGCGACGGTACGCCTCCTGGCTGCCCTCACTGGCTTGAAGGACGTCACTGTTTTCGGATCCGGCGTCATTCGCGACACTGTGCTAGCCGCCCTTCACGGCTGCTCCCAGCTGGATACGGTGCAGCTTAATGACACCCGGCGCCTCACGGACATCCCTGCCCTGACCCAGTCAGATGTGGCAGCGGTCAGCAGGTCAGTCGGCCAGACGGCGACGGCGGATACTTATGTGTATCTGGATCGTTAGGCGGCACGGGCGGACATCGATAGCAGCGCCTCTATCGGTCACTAGGGAAAGCTTGGCTGTAGGCGACGAAATACCGGCTGAGTTGTCACACGTTGAATAAGTCATCCGTCTTGTGAAAAAGTTGAACTTTTGCCTTTAATATTTCTACAGGCAATTTTAGAAGCGTCTTCACATGGATTACAAAACCGTTTAGATTATTGTATTCACTTCAAGCCTTCCCTATTGTTCTTGATGATGCGGGAACTATTTCTAATTAGTGTTTCTAGCTTAGTAAAAGAACATACTGTGCAAACGATGAAAAAAGCATAAATGGAAGATTTAAATGCAATTTTCTCTAACAATTAATGGTAAATTCTCTACATATCAAGGAAAATGTGCATGCTAACTGATAATTTAAAGTTCTTGGGGCCAGTTGTTTTCTTCTTTTCTTACGTCGCCCCAATGGCCGCGAATACACTTGTGATAACGCCTATCGTAGACCGCAATAACCCCAGAAACTGGGTATCCCTTGGAGGTTTACATAGTAATACGGGCATATGGACACTGGAAATTGTAACAAACTCTTTACAGAAGAATAGGTATCCACAAGCAGACTTTTTGATTCAGGTCGTTGTGTTGATGCGATGCAAACAGACAGACAGACGGACAAGCGGACGGGCAACTACGTTATGTGGACTGCAGACTGGTATTAATATAGATATGGACATAATATTGGATGGCATAAGGCTGTTAGTATCGTGTGAAACCAGTGTAGCAACTAGCAAGTTGCAGCACCAGACTGGGAACTTTAGATAGCCAGAGACACACATGTTCTGTTATGAACGGCATCGGAACTCATGGTGTCTCCGTGTTCAATCGCCCACTGGTGCCACTTTGTGACTGTGTCCTGTACCTATATACTGACCTGTTCTGTTTTGTTGTAATCTGTTGCAGGATGGCAGTAACCTGCAGGAAACTGAAGACACTGTTCATTTCATCCTCAATCAAAAACCGCCAGGCCGTCCTGACTGCCCTGCACGAGACAGACCTGGGATGTGACAATAGCCAGTCCCGTACCATCAATTTCAAGGTCCCCAGTAAGTGACGGTGTCTCTAACCACCCACACCAGCCGACACGGCGCCACCGGACTCTCGGACACGCACACTGACGCACGTGACGTCACATGTACTGACGTCACGCTTGGTGACGTGTATCTCCCTTAGTGACGTCACAGCATCAGTATCAACCCGCATGACGTCACTAGTCAGTGATACACACATTGTCATTGTGTTTGTTTCTGTATATGTGAGTGACATCATCAGTCTGAGTTGCCCCATGTGCAGAGCCTATTTTAAGGGAATTTGACTGGGGGGGCAACCTGGAAAATTGTCTCTAATAATCCATCAACCCTCGCCCGTATTGGTATTTTCCAGCTGCGAACGTATATGGGGGGGGGGGGTCCGTTGGACCTTCCCCCTTGCCGTTTCGACCCTGCTCGAGCTAGAGCTTCGTGGAAAAAACGACCGTGTTGCCCGTGATGAAAGGAAGCCGATGATACCCAATTTTAACCCTCGCCGACCCTCGCCGACACAGGGGGGGGGGGGGTTGATGCAACCCCCCTAAGGTTTTTTCGCGAATAACTCGCGTAAAAAGCTGCCGATTGCAACGAAACTTTCAGTACCCTCGCATTTATCAATTTTACCTCTACCCTGAAAATTTCATGACCCTGACCCAAATGACCTTTGACCTGTGACCTACTTTCCGAGACCATGTTTGGCCGGAATCACGATTCGGCGTATGTCGACTCGCATTAGCCGCGCTTTTGCAAGCTTTTCGTGCTTTCAAACGTTCAAACATGTGATTTGATGTTGCTCCCATGCATTAGGGTGGATGTCAAGGTCACCTGAAGGTCAGGTCAGGTCAGTGAACTTTGATGACCTCGGTTCACTTTTTCGAGTTTTACATGTTTCTAGGCCAGTTTTTTGGAGCTGAATTCGAATTTAGCAACCCGATGAACATTTACGAAGCCTAGTTTTAGTGCCTTTGTAACATGTTACGAAGCTGTCAGAGGCGGTTGACACCTACTAGGAATACCCGGCAGGACCCCTACTGGTTGACCTGACCTGACCTGACCCGACCTGGACTAAATGCATGAAGACATCATCTGTGATCAAAACTCACATGATATCATTCGGATCAGCACCCCGAAAAACCCCATAGCAGCCACACTTTACGACGTTCTAACAGGTCCCGATTTTCCCGATTTTCGGGTCATTGACCTGACCTGGAAGGTCACCCGATGACCTAGGACATTAAAATTGGATATCATCGGCTTCCTCTCGTGACGGGCAGCACGCTCGTTTTTTTCCGCGAAGCTCTAGCTCAATCAGGGGCCAAACGCGAGGGGGGGGGGGGTCGTACCAACCCCCCCCTTGTGCCGTCGAAGGACGCAAAATGGCCTGTGCCGGCGAGTGTTAAGGTCCTAGGTCGTCATCACTTGACCTTCCAGGTCAGGTCAATGACCCAAAAGTCGGGAAAATCGAGACCTGTTAGAGCATCGTAAAGGGTGGCTGCTATGTTTTTTCGGGGTGATGATCACGAATATCATGTTAGCTATGATTATAGATGATGTCTTCATGCATTTAGGCCAGGTCGGGTCAGGTCAGGTCAGGTCAACCAGTAAGGGTTTTGCCGGGTGTTCGTAGTAGGTGGCAACCGCCTCTGACAGCCTCGTAACATGTTACGAAGGCACCAAAACTACTTCGCAAACGGTCAAATGGTTGCTAAATTCGAATTTAGCTCCAAAAACTAGCCTAGAATCTTATAGAACTCGAAAATGTGAACCGAGGTCATCAAAGGTAAATGACCTGACCTGACCTTCCGGTGACCTTGACACCCACCCTAATGCATGGGAGCAACATCATATCCCATGTTTGAACGTTTGAAACCACGAAAAGACTGCAAACGAGCGGCTAATGCGAGGCGACATGCGCCGAATCGCAATCCCGGCCAAACATGGTGCCATGGTGCTAAGCCGCCGGTGCATCTGAAAGAACTGTGGGTGCCCCTGACAAGCCTGAAGTTCCAACGACAGGCCCGTGGTGCCCCTGACAGGCCCATGATGCCCTTGCGAGGCCGTTGGTGTCCCTGCTAGGCCGGTGGTGCCTCTGCTAGGCCGCTGGTGCCCCTGGGCCCTGAGAGGACTGTGGTGCTCCTGACAAGCCTGGAGTGTCCCCGACAGGCACGTGGTGCCACTTACAGGCCCAAGATGTCCCTGCGAGGCCGGTGGTGCCCCTGCCAGGCATGTGGTGTCCCTGCTAGGCCTCTGGTTCCCCTGACAGGCCTGTGGTGTCCCTTGGCCCTGACAAGCTTGAGGTGCCCCCGACAGGCCCGTGGTGTCGCTGACAGGTCCGTGGTGCCCTTGCTAGGCCTGTGGTGCCTCTGGCAGGCCTGTGGTGCCCCTGGCGGGCCTGTGGTGGTATCCCTGACAGGCCCAAGGTGGCGCCCCTGCGAGGCCGGTGGGGCCTCTGGCAGGTCTGTGGTGCCCCTGGCAGACCTATGGTGCTCTTCCTAGGTCGATGGTGCTCCCAACAGGTCTGTGGTGCCCCTGACAGGCCGGTGGTGCCCCAGGCAGGCCTGTGGTGTCCCCGGGCCAAAGGGGGCGGGGGTCATAACCCATATGACCCACCATTGGATCCACCACTGGTCATTACTTGCAGACTGACTCATTTGACATCCATTGCAAAACAAGTCACAGTTGTATGTTTGTCACCGTGTTCCTTTATGCCCATTTTTATAGTGGGCACATCTCGACGACTGGGGGGGCAATTCTGTTGAGTGCGGGGGCATTTGCCCCCCCAGTTAACATGTTAAAATAGGCCCTGCCCATGTGACATCACTAGCAAACTGTGTGTAATCTGACGTGCTCTATTTTCCAGAGTCTGTATACGACAAGCTTACTAAGCCACCCAACGGCAGCAAAATCACCGTGTACTCCTTCTAAAAGCCTGACTAATCAGTGCTTCGACCGCTCCGGTCCCGGCGGCAGTGTCGGAACTCGACAACAGATGGCAGTACTGTGTCCCGTGTCGGAACTCGACAACAGATGGCAGCACCGTGTCCCGTCGGCAGCGCTGTACGGGGCACAATACACATCAAGACCTTCATATCCAGAAGTACTTCGAGCCGCCCTGTCCCATCGGCTCAGGTCCGTGGGTAGGTACTTTACCGCCGTGCCAGGCTGGTTTGGGTTGAGTAGCCACCTGTAGGCTGGTCATTTGATTTAGGCATAGATTGCTACGCTTGTTGACACTGCTTTGATAGACAGTGGTGAGTGGGTATATTCAGTATCCGAGATATCACGCTCGGGGCCACTGTCCAGCCGTCGGTAAACCGTTGTCACCGTGCCGGAGGTACCGCCGTGGTGACGTCACGTGTGTTGTGACGTCACGTCACGCTGGCTCTCACCGCTGTGCTGTTGTGTCGTTTCAGTTTAGACCAGAGTTTCGTTGGAGCTAGCTGTGGGGTGGCCGGTCCAGGCGATATCGGACCTCGCCCGTCACTGTGTCGGACCGTCGGTGGTCCGGTCGGCTGTGGTTGGTTTAGACCGGATATGTCCGGTTCGGTGTCGTTCATGGGATATCACGGGCTGATGGCGATTGGAATACACAGTGGTTGAGACGTTCAATACACAATGCTACTGGATTTCCAAGCGCCACTATGTAGTGCTGTCATTTAGTGACGTTAACTAGTCAAAGGGACTGTAAGGCTTCTGACCATTATGCAATGCTTTGAGCATATCATTCCATAATGTCATACAAAGTTGTGATAAAAAGAAGTCACCTACTTGAAGTGACGTGGAGCTCTGATGTCAGGATGCTTCATAAAAAGTGTGTGCAACTTCAGGTTCCCTAATATGTTTTCCGTGAAAATTAAGCCAAACCCAGAGAGTTATCAGTAAAAAGAAAAATCGCGTCATTTCCAGGAAACGTATCCCTCCAGGGGACGGACGAATCATACTTTTTACCCATACCACCAGCCCAGCACTTCAGTTGACTGAGCCGTTAGGCTGTACTGATTATCACACAATCAAGTGTGTCTATGGTGATCAATGTGTCACCCAGCCGGTGCAGTGCGGTACAGCCTACCACTCCAGGCAGCTGATTGCCCGCTGAGAAACGGTGCATCGTTCTGCCGTCAACTGTAGACTGTACAGTGTGTATTAGTTATATTACAGCTGTATGGACACAGCACGGGTACGGATCCGGGACACCATACCATCGACTGGTGGATACAGGACACGGTCTAGTATCCAGCGGTGCGATACAGCCGGTGGTCGTTATTTCTTTTAGAAGGCTGGATACCGCCAGTGGACACTATTATTTTAGAAGGCTACATACCGCCAGTGGACACTATCACTTTTAACCCGGCGGCCGCTGGGCCTCCGCGCCACCCGCCGGCCGCTGGGGGGGGGGGGGGGCATAAAGTTGCCCCCCTTTACTTCTGCGACGATATCGTCGCAACGCGAAGAGATAGAGAAGCGAAACTTTGCACACATCTTCCTGAATACCTAGCCGAGGTTGTGTCCAAATTTGGTGTTGATCCCATTTGAAATGACGTCACAGTGACGTCATAAGTGAAATTATAGATTTGCGACTCTCATATTCCTCACGATACATCACATATATGGGACCGAATATAAAGGGCCGATTATTGGTCAGAAACTAGATGGAAGTGTAGTAAGATGTTTTAGGATGACAGCAGGTGCTGTCTAGTTCATTTACAGTCGAGTTTCATGCTCAGCGTCATCAGAAACGGTCCATATCGGAAAACGACAAAACTTTATGACGTCACTGTGACGTCATCTTAGGTGCTACAACCACCAAACTTTCCTCAAACATTGCCTAGGTATTCATTTGAAGCTATGCCAAGTTTCACGTTCGTGGCTCATCAGGTTTCGGAGATATTTCACAAAACGTAAAGGGGGGGGCAACTTTATGCCCCCCCCCCCCAGCGGCTCGTGGGTTAAGAAGGCTGGATACCGCTAGTGGACACTATTATTTTACTGAAGGCTGGATACCGCTAGTGGACACTATTTCTTACAGAAGGCTGGATACCGCCAGTGGCCATTATCACTTTTTAGAAGGCTGGATACCGCCAGTGGCCATATCACATGCCTAGAGGGGAAGTGTCCAATAGGGCCTTTCGGTTATTTTCTCAATTAGGTACTCCCCTCTAAAAAGTGGTGAATATTGACGTAACGTTTATCACTCAGTTCTAATCAATACCCTTACCTGAAAACGTTCGTGGTCCACTGGTCCAATCATTGACCTTTGAAATTTTGCATTGTTTTAAGACAATATTCGACAAGAATGGTGATTCGCCGCATAAGCGCATATAATCTGTACGTGCACTTCACTTTTGCAAGAAGAAGTGAGCCAAAGAAAGGAATGAAGTTTGTTCTCTGGCTTATTGTAGCGTCAAGGCCATTCAATTTTGATGAACTTTAGGTCTTGATGAGCACCTTTTTGAAGTTAAAACTCTTGGGGATACATTTAAGAATTTTGTGCGATGCTCCAAATTTGGACGGTCGTGGTGGTCAGCGGTCAAGTGATGACTACCAGTTGACTATACCAGAACTATAGTGTCGCCCCCCCCCCCACGGCCTTGAGTGCCCCCATTTCCAATGAGCTGCCCCACCCCAACTTGCATATCCGGGGAGGGCAGTGACTGCACACCGCTCGGCTCGTGTTGTCACGTTACCATGGTAACTCTGCTGACGTCATCAAAGTGTTGCACCGCTCCGCGTCAATGGGTTAGTTCGGCCTCATGACAAAGGGACACAGGGGAGGCACTGTGCAGTTTAAACCCTGTGACCCCAGACAGAGACTGGAGGTCTAGGACGAAAGGTGTGCTGCTGAAAGACGTAAGGTAAGCGATTTCAGTTTCACCCGCGCCCCGCTGGGAGTCGGAGAGGAACGACCTACTGACTCCATGTGACCCAGCGAGACACAATTGTCAGCATTTTACTAAGCATTAGGTATTAGTTTTATAATTGTTAGGCATTCGCTAATCGCTATTATCAACTCAGTTTTGATCATTGTATTCATGTATTTGGGGAAAGTCGGCAGTGCGGTCAGGTTACGTTAACCAACAGGCGCCCGCCGGCTATCCATAGTAGGTATGTATGTGCTTACTGGGGCATTCCACGATAGATCGTACCAGGCCGGTCACCCTCATCTTTCAGATTTTAACCCGCACCCCAGTGGCGGTCTCAGCCAACTTCGCCCTAGTGCTAGTGTGTGTGTGTGTTGGGGGGGGGGGGGCATATGTTACCACCTACCTCTAATAACTCAAAAACTAAGAGGGCTAGAAAGACGCAGTAAAAAGCAGTCGATAGCTCTCAATGCGTACGTTTGAAAGTGTCTTGGTCATTTATCATTTTAGAGCAATATGGGGTCACTGGAGGTTATCAAAGGTCAACATTTGCCAAATGTCATTATATTTCTGAGAAAACATGCAATTATCTCAGGAACTATGATAGGTAGTTAGAAAAACGGATGGAAAAGCAATCGATAGCTTATGAACTTTTCTTTTGATAAGGTCATCATCAAAACTGACCTCAGGTCAATGGTTTAGCATCCAGAGGGCAAAAACTAAAAAAAAAAATTGTTTTACGAAATGTGTTTTTCGACCATAACTTTTGACTAAAACAGGCCACAACATTTCTATTGCCAGAATCGTGTTCCTCTCGCCGAGACGCGTCGAATGAAATATAATTTGACCTTGAAAGGTCAACTTGAAAATTTGACCTCAGGTCAAGGTCATGACCTGACCGGAAAAGGTCATGCTGCATATCAGTCGATGCGTCTGAACAAGACAAACACAATGAGGCCATCCCCAACGTCCTATCTCTTTCCAATCGAGAGTTATTGACAAAAATCTGTTTGAAGCCTCAAATGACCTCGGATGACCTTTCTAGAGGCTATCAGCAAAAAAGACACCATGGTCGTCACGGGTGGTCCAAATCATTGTGATTCTGAAATATTTGGGCTGTTCCTATGCGTACACACGGATCTAGAGGCATTTCCATTTTTCTCCGTTGACTTATAATGGTAAGGTCACGCCACTGGGCACTGACCTGACCTTAGGTCACGGATATAAAAAAAAAATCCGAGATATGCAAATTGTAGGCGCCCATAACATCATGCAATCCACCAAGCTTAAAACTTTTCTGAAAAACACTGCAGGCTGGACATGATTGCAAACTTTTTTAGGCTTGGTCAAGTTAACTTGACCTGGTGACCTGACCTGACATGACCTGGGGTCAAAAATTTCACACACTCTCCAAAATTGATGTACAAATAGCTACTCCAGGCGGCGGGGCGCTACGCGCCGCGGTTTTTTATTCACACGCAAAAAACGCGACAGGGTGGTAGCATAACCGAAGGTTTGTTGTCAATAGTTAACCCTCGCCCGTATTGGTGTTTTTCCAGCCGCGAACGTATTGGGAGGGGGGGTCCGTTGGACCCCCCCTTGCCGTTTCGCCCCTGATCGAGCTAGAGCTTCGCGGAAAAAACGAGCGTGTTGCCCGTGACGAGAGGAAGCCGATGATACCTAATTTTAAGGTCCTAGGTCATTGGTTGATCTTGCAGGTCAGGTCAATGACCCCAAAGGCGGGAAAATCGGGACCTGTTAGAAAGTGGTAAAGTGTGGCTGCTATGGGGTTTTTCGGGGTGCTGATCACGAATATCATGTTAGTTTTGATCACAGATCATATCTTCATGCATTTAGGCCAGGTCGGGTCAGGTCAGGTCAGGTCAACCAGTAAGGGTATTCGTAGTAGGTGGCAACCGCCTCTGACAGCTTCGTAACATGTTACGAAGGCACCAAAACTACTTCGTAAATGTTCATATGGTTGCTAAATTCGAATTCAGCTCCAAAAACTGGCCTAGAAACATGTAAAACTCGAAAAAGTGAGCCGAGGTCATTAAAGGTCCATGACCTGACCTGACCTTCAGGTGACCTTGACACCCACCCTAATGCATGGGGGCAACATCATATCACATGTTTAAACGCTTGAAACCACGAAAAGACTGCAAACGCGCGGCTAATGCGAGCCGACATACGCCGAATCGCGATTCCAGCCAAACATGGTCTCGAAAAGTAGGTCACAGGTCAAAGGTCATTTGGGTCAGGGTCATGAAATTTTCAGGGTAGGTGTGAAATTGATGAACGCGAGGGTACTGAAAGTTTCGTCGCAATCGGCCGCTTTTTACGCGAGTTATTAGCGAAAAACCATGGGGGGGATCCGTTCGACCCCCCTCTCCTATACGGGCGAGGGTTAAAACACTATTCTTTAGAATTGTGTTTTTGTATTGAAAAACAAATCTGAGTTCCCTGACAATTTGGCAAAAGCTGCCTGAGATATGCCCCCCCCCACACTGGGGCGAAGGATAATGAAAATCGGTCCTAGGGGCAATCATAGGCCCCAAAGACGCCTGGCAAAATATCAGACTTCTCAGATCAAAACGTTTTGAGTCATATTGCATTACATTTTGTAAACCTCGGTTTGCAACGCTGAGTTTGATGGCCTATAACTCAAGAACGGGTTGGGCAACCAACAAACGGTACACGGGCGTAGGAACGTCATGAAAAGTGGGTGGGCCACCCTGTCAAGGGGCCTCCTTTTCCAGGGGGCCTCC